CAACAACTGCATTGGCTACCAATAGAACATCGGATCTCTTACAAGATACTGATCCTGACATTTAGAGCTCAAAATAGCCAAGGACCTTTATATCTTAGGGACCGCCTCATTCCTTTTCTCCATCAGTGGTCACCTCGATCCACCCAGGAAAATCTCCTATACATACCGGGCCCTAGGGAGGTACACCTGGAAGCTACAAGGCGTAGAGCTTTTTCGACCTATGCTCCAATTCTGTGGAACTCATTGCCTCCATACATTAGAGCAATGTCGGAGTTGCGACCTTTTGTAAAGGCACTCAAGACTTGGCTTGTTTGGTTGTGCATTTAAGTAATCAGATCTAATTTGCCAAATAGTCACTGTTGAATGTTTTTATGTTGAATGTTTTTATATTGTGTAAATGCTATTTTAGATTGTAAGTCGCTCGGAGCACCTTGGTGGAGAGCGACTAATTAAGAAATAAAGTGAAGTGAAATGATCCAGAAAAATAGGCTTGGAGAGCTCAGGCCACAAGCTGGGGGCATTCTGCAAGCCTTTGGTAGTCAACACTGCTGTGTATTATTATTATTATTATTATTATTATTATTATTATTATTATTATTATTTCTTCTCCAAAGTCCTGCTTTGGCTTTGATTTCCTCTTCCTTCTCTTGGCCAGGTGCTTTTGCAGTGACAAGGCAGCTTAGTGATCTCATATGAACACTGACACAAACTGTACTTAACTTTCACCTTCAGATTCACCTCTAGCACGACACAAACATTTCATTTTCAGTCTTCCTCCGGATAAACAACTTTTGAATGATGGCAGAAGCTGGGCAAATTGTGGCTTAAGCCAGAGAGAGGGGAAATGCTGGGGTTTTTTCTCCCGCTGGAGGCTGTGTTTCCTTGTTGCTCTTGAAGCCTCAGCAAATGGAAGTGACTGAGTGAGCAAGAGAAATCTTGGTTGTCTCTGGAGCCAGATTATCCATTTTTCACAGCGCTCCTTAGAACCGGGGGCTTAACGGCCCTGCTGTGATGCATTACGGGAGCGCAACGCTGTGCGGGGGAAACATGCCCATGTCCTTCTCACAGCACCCTCTGAACATACAAAATTTCTTCAGCTATTTTATTCTCTGGGTGGAAAAAAGTCCCAACTGTATGGCATAGTACATGCTTCTTTTCAGTCCTGTTATGGACTGCTGTCTCAAGGAAACATTGGGAGCAGGGCTGGATGGAGAGAGTACAGTAAGATGCATATCCACAGTTATCTGCACTTGAGGGCAAATGGTCTCTCCACGGACTTTCTGGCCCTGGAATTTACCATAGTGTTATTCTAGAGGACCTAGCAAATGCCCAGAGAGGATACCTCGGTATCAGCAGTTCTCAAAGTGTGCTCCATGGAGCCCTTTGGGTTCCATGAAGCATAATAATAATAATAATAATAATAATAATAATAATAATAATAATAATAATAATACTTTATTTACACCTACCACTATCTCCCCAAAGGGACTCGGAGTGGCTAACATGCGGCCAAGCCCAAACGAAATTACAATGGAGCCAAAAACATATAAACAAGACAATAACATCAAATAAATACTTAGTAATAACATAGTAAAATAAAATAACAAAATCATAATAAAAACAAATGATAAAAATGGTAATAGAATTAGACAAAGAGAGCAAGGCCCATAACTAAAAGTGAATAGAAATTGATAAAATCCATAAGTGAGCATAGAAGTGCTATGATTTATGAGGGGGATAACAGTGGAATAAAACTTCAACTTAGAGATAAGGTGAAGAACATCAGAAAGACAAGTTTGACTTGGGGTGGGGCAGGCATGGAAATTGGTTGTTCAGTTCCTAAAGGCACACTGGAAAAGCCAGGTTTTTAAACTTTTTCTAAAGGCTGTCAGGGTGGGTGCCTGTCTAATCTCCCTGGGGAGCGAGTTCCAGAGCAGAGGGGCAACCACAGAGAAGGCCCTCTCCCTCGTCCCCACAAGCCACACTTGTGACAGAGGTGGGAGCAAGAGGAGGGCCTCCCCCGAAGATCAAAGAGAGCGTGCAGGTGTATTTATTTATTTATTTATTTATTTACTGCGCTTATATACCGCAATTCTCAGCCCAAGGGCGACTCATTGCGGTGTACAACATGAAAAAACAAGTGCAAATTACAAAACATAGTGTAAAATAATCCACAATTCATCATTATCGAAAAAACAACTTATCAAAACAACATTACTACAAAATTTCTACTACATTCCGAATCGTCTCATCGTCAAGCCACAATCCGATATCATTTCCGTTGTTCCATTCCTATGGTCAAATTACCAGTCATTGCACTTCTTGATCAAATGCCTTCTTAAATAGCTAGGTCTTTAACTTCCTGCGGAATATTAACAGGTAGAGGGCTAGCCTGATGTCCACGGGAAGGGTGTTCCACAGCTGAGGACACTTGGGAAGTGTTTGACTTGTGATTTTGTGATATGAAATCCAGCATATATATCTCGTTTGCTGTGAAATACTGTGTGTCAGTAAATTAACGAGGGGCCTGGGATAGAGGGCAGTGTAGATCCAGTTTCAGAGACCACTTTTCACTCTCCTCTCAGGAAAAAGGATGGTTCTTTCTTGATAACTTCCTGCAGAATATCAACAGGGAGGGGGCTAGTCTGATGTCCACGGGAAGGGTGTTCCATAGCCGAGGAGCCACCACCGAGAAGGCCCTATCTCTCGTCCCCGCCAGCCGTGCCTGTGACGCAGGCGGGATCGAGAGCAGGGTCTCCCCGGAAGATCTCAAAGTCCTCGTGGGCTCATAGGCCGAGAGGCGGTCAGTTAGGTTCATAGGTAGGCGGGTCCCAAACCGTTCAGGGTTTTCTAGGTGATAACTTGCACCTTGAATTGGGACTGGAAAATGAACAGAAGCCAGTGGAGCTCCTTAAACAGGGGGTGGACCGTTCCCTGTAAGAAGCTATATCTCAGTCTTGTTTTGCCTTTACCATCTGTCAGAGTGGAATAATTCAAAAAGAGAATATGTCGGATGAAATGGATCCCCAAGAATGCTCTGAGCCTTCTTAAGAACCTATAAAGTTTTTCCAATGAGGGAGAAAGAGAGCAGCCAATGATTCTCTCTGCAGAAGTGGTGACCCTTTGGAGCACCCACTGTACAGCTACCAAACCATGTGCAGATTCAGTAGGTTAGGACACACTCTCTAGCACAGCGGTAGAATGTCCCAGCAGTTTTCCATTCAGTTGTTGGTTCCTTAGAAGTCTCAGACAGTAGTCTCTGCTGGGCCCTCTTCCACAACGGTGTTGTATGAATGCTGCCCCGGGTCAGATCCTACTTCACAGGGATACCCAGGTACATAAAACTGGCCACTTGCTCTACTTGGCCCCATTTATGGCCAAGGGCTGGATTCCTGGTTTGTTCTTTTTATAGTCTACTATAAGCTCCTTGGTCTTGTTGATGTTCAGAACCAGATTGTTGTCCCTGCCCCTCGAGAGCAGCTAGCCCACCTCATTCCAATAGGCAAATTCCTCCCCTTCAGAGATAGGAAGCCCCACCACAGTTGTATAATTCATAAATTTGGTAATAATATTGCAATGGTGGATGGGGGTACAATCATATGTGTGCAAGGTGAAAAGCAGAGGACTCAACATGCTGCCCTTTGGCATCCTCGTGTGGAATGTGAGATTAGCTGAAGGGGTGTGATTCCCAAATCTGGGAATGTCCAGACAAGAAGTCCATAATCCAGGAACAGAGTGAATATGACAATCCAAGATCTATGAGTTTAGACAACAGTCTGTGTGGGAGGTTTATGTTGAATGGGGAAGTAAAGTCTGCAAAAAGCATCCTCACATAGTTCCCCCATTGTTCCAGAGGAGTCAGAGCAGTTGAGCATGATCTGGGTTTTCAAGATTAGCCGTTAGACTCTATTTATTTTTTTATTTATTTGTCATGTCAGAGCAACCAGTCCATTATATTACATTTCTAACAGAACAAAGCAAACAAACAGAAAAATACAAAACTTGTGAGTTTGGTAGTTGGTTAAATGTCCTTTGACCAGTATCTGGCCACTTGGAGTGCTTCTGGTGTTGCTGCAAGAAGGTCCTCCATTGTGCATGTGGCAGGGCTCAGGTTGCATTGCAGCAGGTGGTCAGTGGTTTGCTCTTCTCCACACTCGCATGTCGAGGATTCCACTTTGTAGCCCCATTTCTGAAGGTTGGCTCTGCATCTCGTGGTGCCAGAGCGCAGTCTGTTCAGTGCCTTCCAAGTCTCCCAGTCCTCTGTGTGCCCAGGGGGGAGTCTCTCATTTGTTATCAGCGATTGGTTGAGGTTCTGGGTTTGAGCCTGCCACTTTTGGACTCTCGCTTGCTGAGGTGTTCCAGCGAGTGTCTCTGTAGATCTTAGAAAACTATGTCTAGATTTAAGTCGTTGACGTGCTGGCTGATACCCAAACAAGGGATGAGCTGGAGATGTCTCTGCCTTGGTCCTTTCACTATTGGCTGCTACTTCCCGGATGTCAGGTGGTGCAATACCGGCTAAGCAGTGTAATTTCTCCAGTGGTGTATGGCGCAGACACCCCGTGATAATGCGGCATGTCTCATTAAGAGCCACATCCACTGTTTTAGTGTGGTGAGATGTGTTCCACACTGGGCATGCATACTCAGCAGCAGAGTAGCACAGCGCAAGGGCAGATGCGTTAGACTCTATGATACAACAACAAATAAAATGGGGGAGGGCAAAGAGTGCCTTCTTCTCACCCCTTCTCTCCATGTGCTTTGTTAGCTGCATTAGATTTGACTCCCTGAGAAATGACTGCATGTCTTTCTCTTATTCTGTTTGTATGAAATGCAATTTAACGCCCCGAGGGAATAGCTAGCAAGTTTTGAAAGGGAAGGTGTGATGTAAGAAGACCGTTTTTCAATCTCCTGGAGGTTGAATCCAAGCCCGCTATCATTTGCACAAGCCGGCGCACGCGTTGAGCAAGCAGCTATGAAAAGTTCTCCCTCTTTTGTTTTCTCAGGTGCTGCTGCTCGCGTCCACAGAAGATTTAGAATGCATCCCCGGATTCCAACAAAAGGTTTTTCATATTGAACATCCGTCTGCATTCACGGCGGACCAGGCAATTCTGAATTGTAAGGAAATCTTATTTTCATATGGCACTTTTGTACAAATATATGTATATACAGTATTATTCGGAGTCTGGGTGTTCCTATCACATTTGGAATGTATGAGGCATCTGGTGCCCTTGTGATGAGCTCACCTCTGCATTTTCTGCTTCCGTTCTGCAGCATAAGGCTTTGAATTCCTCCTCCCCCACTGGATTTATGCAGATCTTGACCTTTTGCTGTGTATTCTGGCTATGTATTTCAATCAGTGTGTGAATCAGTGTTGCCCTGAATGTCCACACTGGGAATGATATGAGCTTCTTTCTCCTGAATGAATCTGTTTTGCTCTTAGTAGAGCCTTGACTTGTTGTTGTGTAGACTTTTCCTTGCATCAGCACATTTGACATCCCTGTTTGCATTGGTACTTGCAATTTAGTCCTCAGCTTTTGGTCCAAAGTACACCTCTTTTGCATTAGGGACTTGCACAGTGTCTTTGGTCCAGGAGAGGAAAGAACTGGGTGGCCACATCCTTCCTGTAGTCAAGTGTCAGGTTGCAATGCTGGCACCAATGCAAGATGTTTTGTGAGTTTGCCAGGTGGAAAAGGTGAAATGGACCATGAGGTCTCAATAGTACAGATTGACTCTCCTTCATTGGAAATGCTTATGACCAGAAAGTTTTTGAATCCAGATTTGGAGATAATTTTATAAAATATTGTACATAATTTCTGCATGGAACAAAGTTGATGTCTACTGAACCACCAGAAAGCAAAGATGTCACTATTTGAGCCACCTATATGAATTAGGGAGTATTTTGAATAAGGAATACTCGGCTTGTACTGTCTGTATGCGAGCTGCTTGATTCTGGTGGTAAACAGAACAATATGTTGTGATTGGCCTACATTATATGCTTAGTTTCCAACTAGAGTGGACCTATTGGATCAGTGCAAGTACTGAGTCAGCACTCAGCAATAGATCCAGTGGTTTCCAATGGGATCCAGGCCCCCATTTCTAACTGTTTCTGATTTTATTTGCTATATATTTTTAAAAATCACCCACAAGACACTTTGGAGTACAAGGCTTGGTCTGGCATGGCTCAAAACAATTTTTTTTCATGAGTTTCAATGTAGAAACAATCCAGAGGTGTCTAGAGCAGGCATCCTCAAATTGTTTGGGCCTCCAACTCCCAGAAGCCCTAATCAGCTTGTTCAATTGTCAGGAATTCTGGGAGTTGAAGGCCCAAACAGATGGAGGGCCACAGTTTGAGGATGCCTGGTCTAGAGAGTCATAGACAACCTGACATCATTGGTATGCAGCCTGCAGAAGTGGAGTTTGAGGTCCATTGTGTTCTGTTGTGCTTGTGCAAGGAGGTGATCAGAGTGGAGAGAGAGCGCACACGTGCTGTCGTGTGACAGGAGAGTAGAGGGAGATTTATTGTTTATTTCTCTGAATTCTGCCACCAACTGGTATAGTGAAGGCCAATTGTTATATATAATCTATGGTAACTGCCACCAACGTGAGATATGAGGTATTACTGTGAGATGTGGCAATACAGACACAGAATGGATGGAGATGAGACTGTCTTCAACAAAAGATAACTGGTTTATTCAGTACAAAGCATGTGGTTGCAAGATTATAACTTATTTTATAGAACTTTGAATAATACTTGGTTAGTTAAACATTTCACTCTTCCAGGTTACACAGTATCTTACTGAGGTGAAGCTCTTATTACTAAACAATGTTTCAGTACAGGAATATCTTCCCTATTTGATCTTTCCTTGATCAAATAAATTACCAAGCTTATCCTTTAGCCTTTCCCTTGACTAAAGAAAACTGGCTATGTTTCTCCTTTCAACCTCCTTAGACTGAGAAACCTCCAGTAGCTATTCAGGCTTCCCAAAGCCACAATTCTTTGCTTCACACTTCACTCTCCCACTCTACTCCTCACTTCCACTCTTTTACTCCTCTCAGATACAAAATCAACTCCTAACTGACTCTCAAACTGTCTGTTTTCAAAACTCTCTCCACTTGGCTCCTCCCACTTCTCCTTCTGCCAGCTTGCCTTGGTCTCCATGGTAACGCTGACTGAGGATCTCTGAAATAGGCTGCTCCAGTGTTACTGTAGCTAACCCAAACACATATATATACAGTTTAAAACATGCAAAGTATTAATAACTTCTGCACACTTGTTTCAAAGGGATTGTGTCTATTTTCTGGAATGAAATTTCTCAGTTCCTTTTTGGTTTTGTTTCATTTTGTTTTAAATGGATATCTGAGTTTTGAGCATCTCATTTAAAACCTTTCTTGAGAGGCCCTCAGGTTTAGATGGATGATTATTTTAGTCCAAGAAATGACATTGTGAATTGTGTTGCAACTAAGAAATCATGGAAACACATCCAGTAATGGGTTCTGGTGGAGCTCCTCTCTTTATTTTCTCTGTTATGGTCAACCTGTGAAATGATTTGACTGAAATGCAGGAAAGGAGATCCCAGTGCTCCATATCGAATGAAGTGTATGTCATATGGCTTTCCAGATGTTGTTGAACTCTAGGTTCCATCACTCTTAGCCAGCGTAGACAATAGTGAAATGTGCTGGGAGTTTCAGTTCAGTGAATTCACAGGGCTACATGATTCACAGCGTCAACTGAATGATGTTCCTCATTCATGACAGTTTTCTGTTTGGAGAATAAATGTCCTCACTTCTACACTAAGATGGGATAATTGAGCGTCAGCTTGTAGTGCTGTGCTGTAAAGTGAATTCCCGGTGGTTTTTGTTTCTCAAGATGTGTTTTGAGTTCTATCAATATATTAGCCAGTTACCAATATATTATCCAGTTACATCCTGCGGCTCCTCCATGATGACATGATGGCAACAGTCTTGGACAGCAATGGCTCCCAAGGTGACCCATTTAAGGTGGAATCAGGTGTCAAACAGGGATGTGTTATTGCCCCAACTTTATTTTCCATCTTCATCGCTATGATACTTCACCTTGTCGATGGGAAGCTTCCCAACAAAGTGGAAATCATCTATCGGACAGATGGCAAGCTATTTAACCTCAGCAGACTGAAAGCCAAAACCAAGGTTACAACAATATCTATTATAGAACTCCAGTATGCTGATGACAATGTTGTCTGTGCGCATTCAAAAGAAGACCTACAAGCCACTCTAAATATCTTTGCAGAAGTATACGAGCAGCTTGGCCGGTCATTGAACATCAAGAAAACCAAAGTGCTCTCCTAGCAGTCACCAGCCAATCCCTCTCCAATGCCAGAAATACAGCTTAATGGTGTAACATTAGAAAATATTGACCATTTCCGCTCCCTTGGCAGCCACCTCTCCACAAAAGTCAACACTAACACTGAAATCCAACACCACCTGAGCTCTGCGAGTGCAGCATTTTTCCGAATGAAGCAGAGAGTGTTTGAGGACCGGGATATCTGTAGGGATACCAAGGGGCTTGTTTATAAAGCTATTGCCCTCTATCTACTGCATATCTGCCTGTAGATTCACATCCTAACACAATGTGAGGAAGAAAGAAAGGAGGCAATGAGAAAAGACTACAGGTGACGTAATGGCTACTTTGTTTGGAAAGGTCTTTTGGACCAATCATGGCAGGCTTTGTGGTAGCAAGGGCAAACAAAGTCTCTCTGTGTATAATTTTACAGGAAAGAGCTGGAATTGTCCACTACTTTTGGCCACATATGCCATTGTGTTCTCGAGCCTCAACATGTTTTGCTGACTCCCTCTTCTCCCTCTTGTTTCTCTGAAAGGACAAGCTGTTTGAGCCATGTCTGATTACAAGATCTGTGATGACCCAGCAAATTGCACTGGTAGAAAACTGACACAATAATTAAGGCACAATTATTAATATTTAGTTTACGGAGAAGGGGAGGAAAGCCGGCTGCCCGCTGTTTCTAAGAAATGAATTGGTCATAATCGGAGACGAGGCCAAATTTGCCTGAGATATGATGTTCAAGTGTAATGGATTGTTGGCACCATGGTTCTTGATAATTTAATCAGACCAGAGGTTGTCTGTCCCTGTTGTGACAGTTTGATGGCCACACTTACATTAAGGGTTAGGGCAGGCTAATTGAGTCATGCCCTGGGAAAGGCCACTCCACCCATGTTCCTAGCATATGCGAGAGACCCAGGGATTGCGCTTGTATCTTCATCAGAAGAATGCTGCACTTGCAGAGTTCAGGCGCTGTTGTATTTCAGTGTCAATGTTGACTTTTGTGGAGAGGTGGCTGTCAAGGGAGCGGAAATGGTCCACATTTTCTAATGTTACACCATTAAGGTGTATTTCTGGCATTACAAAGGGATTGGCTGGTGCCTTTTGCTGGAAGAGCACTTTAGTTTTCTTGATGTTCAATGAGAGGCCGAGCTTCTCATTTATTACTCCATGCGATTATATATGGATTATATATGGATTATATATGGATTATATTCTGGATTATATGGCAGTGTGGATCCGGCCACAGAAGACCAGGTAAGCATAGCCAGTGATCAAGAATTCTGGGACTTCCACTCCAACGACCTCTGGGGACCCATAGATTAGAAAGTACGCTATGCCTTTGAACCTGGTGGGTAAGGCCAACTTTCTTGTTTCACCTGAAGGCAACTCAATGGAGAAATCTCCCTAAACGCAAGGTTTTTCTGCAGACTCATCAATTTTTTTTATTGTCTGTTTGACTACATTGAGCCTTTCTTTAGTGCCACCATTACTCAAGAGCAATGTAATTTAGCAGTTGGTGCTGTACATGCAGCCCACCGTGAGTATGCAAATTAATAGAGCAAGTATGCAAAACGAGGTTAACGGTGATTGCTTTTGTAGTCTCAAATAAACCAAGCACTTTCAACGCTTGGCTGAAGAGTGAAATAAACATTCATATTTTGCTAGAATGTAACGGAGTCTCTTCCCATCCTCTTTCTCCTCCTCGTCATTTTAAATTAGTCAGGAACATGATGGAGGTTTCTTTACCACTGTCTCTCCCAGTAATTAAGTATAGAGGCTATATCTGCTTTTTACA